CGTCGCGATAACATCGTATTAATTAAAGGCGTGATAATGTAGCTTTAACGAGTCTCATTATCGAGGCATAATTAATCAACGTCTGCAGATGACGCCTTCATTTCGTTTCAGTTTACTGGGGGTATCGATATTATGTCATTTTAGAATTTAGATTTATTGCGAATCGTAATGAATCAGTTGTTTATTGCGAGATCCGAGTCGCTGTGTTTGGGTGGTGCGTTCGTGGTGCAGTTGGGAGTAGTTTTAGGGTAATTAGTCGATGGAACTTGGAGATAAATTTGTGTGGAGGGTGTGATTTGTCATTTTTGTCAGAGAGACTATCGGTTATAGAGGCAGGAGGAAGAGCGATAAAGGAGGGAATCGATATAGAACAATGCTGAACCAGCGAAACCTATTTTTGCCCTCATTAGGTGGAACAATTAGCGGTGGAAATAACGAAAGTGATTCATGAGAAAGATACAGTAAATTGTGTGAACCAGAAGACCCACTACACAACTGCTAATGTTTTTATGTCCTGAGTGTAAGTTGTCTGTCCGTCTGTCTCTTTGTCTATCAAAGTGAAAGTTTGAAAAGTGAAGTTCGGCGGCTGGTTTGGCATAAAAGCGCTAATCCGTCAGTCGATACATCAAAACAGTTTCTATTGTCAGGTGTAGGTGGAATCCGATTTGTCTGGAAAAGCAGCGCCGAGTCCCCAACTCGCCATAAATGTGATAATTTCGGCGCTTAGTTGTACAATGAACTTATTTGTTAATGGAAATGAAATCGTCCGAACACTAACCGGATTAAATTTTGATCGAGTTAATGGCTCTGACTCTGCACCAACACAATGATAGAACGAACCAAAAGTTAGAAAACTCCGCTAACGGAATTTAATTCGATAATTAAATTAAAGCGCGTCTATAATTACACAGTCTTTGTTGTAATGTGATGACTCCAATTAAAATTTTAGCTTTATTGTTTGGCGACATTATGGGTTCGTGTTAAACGGAGAATGCACAATAGACGCTAAAAAATCTCGTTTTTGCGGTTGTTTTGTTTGAAAAGTTACCAAAGTCTACATTATTCATTATGGCCTGTTTCATCTTGCTCGAGGAATTAATTCACCTGCTTATCCCGCGAATAAATTGTTGTCAGTTGGTTTTCGCCCTCATAAATATCCCATAGTACAATAGAGTTCTTGGTCCGCTTTGATCCAAACAACTTTGGAATTTTTATTTATCTTTTATGAAGCTTCTTCAATCATCCCGTCAATCACTTTGTTTGCACAGCATTGATATGCGAGCATTCTGTTTGTTTATTGTTTTCCGCGTGATTCTTGTTAACCGCACGACCTGATTAAAACAAACAGACTCTCGGCTCGGAATGCGCGAATCTTTAATTTTTGATTTCTGCTGCACGAAATCGCCGAAAACAAAGAGTTGCTAAATCAATATAGGGATTTAGAAGGGTTTAAAGTCATAAATAAACTAGCGGCGGCGGATAGTTGGTTGGTAGCACCCTACTTTTTCAGATATACTACATATGAGAACATAAAAATGCGGGCGCCTGAGCGACTATAAATTTAGCGACATATTTTTTACCAACTTTTACATATGTATCGCAAATTCCATCCGGAATAGTAGTTATTTTTTTGCACACGTGCGCAGATAACCACCGAACAACGATGTATTGCTGCAAAAACAATCGATGGCTTTCATTTTAGATAAAAGAAAAATTTACAAATATGCGACGGGAACTTTTATGTTGTCGCACTGCTGTGACTAGAAAAAGTCGCCAAAAATCAGCCTGACTTCTAAGATTTATCCTTTACATATACATCGAAACAAATAAGAGCCTGATTATTCATGAGGTTCCTATATTATTACAAACTAACAAGATATAACAAATACTAATTATGTAAATGCCATAGGCACAAGAAATGTTATCCCTGTTGATATTTCAAAGTTAGCAATATTATACTGGTATATATTTATTACTACAAGGCGCTGTGAAGATGGTAAGGCGTTTACCAAAACTATATATTCGTCCCATCTAAAAAGCTTTTAAGTTCCTTAAAATTTGCTGATTCTTGAGTTTAGTAATCATACAGTACAAAACGTAACGGTAGTAGAACAGATTCCGCGGAGAGCCGCAATTCCTCCCAACCCAGCCCCGTAGCTAGAAAACTTATTCGGGGGGGGGCAAGTTTGTCGACAGAGGGGGCTTCATGTAAATATTTATATTTTAATAATACACTCAGATAACTACTTTATTTTTTCTGAGTTTTTATATTTGAAAGAACATTAAAATAATCAGAAACGTCGATTTTTTACGCTAAATTTTCGTAAAAACCTGTCGAAGTCCAAAAAATTAGTACGGTACTTGGTTAAAATGCTGGTTAAAACAGAGAATGTAGATTCACAAACAGCTGTACTGCATCCAAAAATTTGTGTAGTGGCCATATAGGTAACATCCAATTTGTTTGAGTTTATTTTTTTGCATGTTTAGTACATATTTTAAAAATCCGACTTCGAAACCAAATATTTCGAAACTTTTGTTACGGAACCATGAACTCGTAATTTTTTTTTAAACTCGTCGAGATGTGTATTTCAGAATTTTTTGTCAACTTTAACAAAAGCTCAATTTTTGGAAACCCATATAAAATTTTTGACTTTTCCCAAGCATTTTCGAAAATTACCAAAAAAATTCCTTTGTTCATCTCGATTTCTTCCAAAAATCGTTTTGGATTCAATTTTTTTGAAAATTCTTACATTTTTTGCAGAATCGACGGAAGAAATATGGCAATTTTTGAGAACCTGTATCAAATTTTTGACTTTTTTCAAGCACGTTCGAAATTACCAAAAGGGATTCCTTTATTGATTTCGATCTCCAGATGTTGTTTTTGGTTGTTTTTTCGAAAATTCGTACAATTTTTCCATAATCGCCAAAAGAAATATGGTAATTTTTGAGAAATTTTGAAAATTCCAGCTCGAAACCGAGTATTTCGAAAATTTTGATCCGGAACCTTGAACCTGTCATGTTTTTTTAAGCTCGTCGAAATCTATATTTCAGAATTTTTTGTCAACTTTTACGAAAGTTCAATTTTTGAAAACCCATATAAAATTTTTGGCTTTTCCCAAGCATTTTCGAAAATTACCAAAAGAGATTCTTTTGTTCATGTCGATTTCCAGAAATCGTTTTGGATTCAATTTTTTTGAAAATTCTTACATTTTTTCCAGAATCGACGGGAGAAGTATGGCAATTTTTGAGAACTTGTGTAAAATTTTTGACTATTTTTCAAGCACGTTCGAGATTAACAAAAGGGATTCCTTGATTGATTTCGATTTCCAGATGTTGTTTTTGGTTGTTTTTTCGAAAATGCGTACAATTTTTCCACAATCGCCAAAAGAAATATGGTAATTTTTGAGAAATTTTGAAAATTCGAGGTCGAAACCGAGTATTTCGAAAATTTTGATCTGGAACCATGAACCTGTCATGTTTTTTTAAGCTCGTCCAAATCTGTATTTCAGAATTTTTTGTCAACTTTACGAAAGTTCAATTTTTGAAAACCCATATAAAATTTTTGACTTTTTCCAAGCATTTTCGAAAATTACCAAAAGAGATTCCTTTGTTCATGTCGATTTCCAGAAATCGTTTTGGATTCAATTTTTTGAAAATTTTTACAATTTTTCCAGAATCGACGGAAGAAATATGGCAATTTTTGAGAACCTGTATCAAATTTTTGACTTTTTTTAAGCACATTCGAGATTACCAAAAGGGATTCCTTTATTGATTTCGATCTCCAGATGTTGTTTTTGGTTGTTTTTTCGAAAATTCGTACAATTTTTCCACAATCGCCAAAAGAAATATGGTAATTTTTGAGAAATTTTGAAAATTCGAGCTCGAAACCGAGTATTTCGAAAATTTTGATCCGGAACCATGAACCTGTCATTTTTTTTTAAGTTTGTCCAAATCTATATTTCAGAATTTTTTGTCAACTTTTAGGAAAGTTCAATTTTTGAAAACCCATATAAGACTTTTGACTTTTCCCAGGCATTTTCAAAAACTACCGAAAGGGATTCCTTTATTGATTTCGATCTCCAGATGTTGTTTTTGGTTTTATTTGGTTGAAAAGTCGTAAAATTTTTCAGCAATCGCCAAACGAAATGTAATTTTTGAACTTTGAAACCGAATGTTTCGAAAATCTTGATCTGGGACCATCTAGACCTTGTGTTTTTTGATTGAGCTCGTCGAGATCAACATTTCAGATTTTTTTGTGGATTTTTAGTCAACTTCAACAAAAGCTAAATTTTTGAAAATCCATAAAATGTTTTTGACTTTTCCCAACCGTTTTCGAAAATTAGCAAAAGGGATCTCTTTATCGATTTCGATCTCCAAATGTTGTTTTTGGTTTTATGTTCTCGAAAATTTGTACAATTTTTCCAAAGCCGCCAAAAGAAATGTAATTTTTGAGAAATTTTGAAATGCCGACTTTGAAACCGAATTTTTCGAAAATCTTGGTCTGGGACCATCAAGACCTTATGTTTTTGGATTAAGCTCATCGAGATCTACATCTCGGAATTTTTTGTTGATTTTTTGTTAATTTCAACAAAAGCTCAATTTTTGAAAATCCATATACATTTTTTGACTTTTCCCAAGCATCTTCGAAAATTAGCAAAAGGGATCTCTTTATTGATTTCGATCTACAGATGTTATTTTTGGTTTTATTTTTTTGATATTTCGTCGAATTTTTCCACAATCGCATAAAGAAATAACTTTTTTTTTGTCACTTTTGAGATTTTTTAGAAATTTTAGGTAGAAACCCAATATTTCGTAAATTTTGCTCCGGGAGCATGAACATGTTTTTCGATTAAGCTCATCGAGATCTATATTTCAGAATTTTTTGTCAACTCTAACAAAAGCTCAATTTTTGAAAACTAAATAAATTTTGACTTTTCTTAAGCATTTCCAAAAATTACCAAAAGTCATTCTTTTATTTATTTCAATCTTCAGATGTTGTTTTTGGTTTTATTTGATCGAAAATTTGTAAAATTTTTCTAGAATCGTCAAAAGAAATAGGAGTATAATTTTTGAGAAATTTTAAAAAGTCGACTTGGAAACCGAATAGCAGCAAGACCTTATGTTTTTTGACTAAACTCGTCGAGATCTACATCTCAGAATTTTTTGTAGATTTTTAGCCAATTTCAACAAAAGCTCAATTTTTGAAAATCTATAAAAAAATTTGACTTCCCACGCATTTTCGAAAACTAGCAGAAGGGATCTTTTTATTGATTTCGATCTCCAAATGTTTTTTTTTTGGTTTTATTTTTTCGAAAATTCGTACAATTTTTCCAGAGCCGCCAAAAGAAATGTAATTTTGAAATATCGACTTTGGAACCGAATTTTTGAAAAATGTTGGTCTGGGACCATCAAGACCTTATGTTTTTTGATTAAGCTCATCGAGATCTACATCTCAGAATTTTTTGTCGATTTTTTGTCCATTTCAATAAAAGCTCAATTTTTAGAAAATCCATATAATATTTTTGACTTTTCTCAAGTACATAGTAGGCTATGGAATAAAATGTGACATGTTCATTTTTTTATAGGGTGATATTGCCAAATAATATACCCCGTAAGAAAATAAAGGTGGGGCGGGTGGGGCCAGTTAATATGCTTCGGCAATCGGCATTATATTGAAATTTTATTATTAATTTGAAATTTATAATGTATAAGTCTTCCAGGGGGGGCAACCACAACTGCTAGAGGGGGCTCAGCCCCCTCTTGCCCCCCCGTAGCTACGGGGCTGTCCCAACCCGTGACGAGAGGACTGACATGACTTACGTAATCCTCTTTGCTCCTCTTAGGATACATACGGTCACTAACGTCATTGCCTCCACTGATGCAATCCGTTGTGTGAAGAGTGAATTGCACGGAAAGCCGCAATTCTAGTTAATCCGTGACCAGAGGACCGCATCGAGCGACGTAATCGGAACATTTGGTTTTCCAGTTTTAAAGTTAAATTATAAAATGTTGTTAAACATACAGTTTTGATCTTTGTTCTAAAAATGTCTAGGGTAAAAATTTAAGACGAATTCATATACGGTAGACAAACAGGCAAACAGACAGACAGATAGACGAAAACGGGAGACCCTTTTGTCATCTCTTTGGGTTATGAAACGTCGAGAAAATATGTAAGTAGCCAGCTAGAAAAGTCACACCCAAAAGCTTCACAATTTTTCTAAAATTTTGACGATTTTCTATGTTAATTGTCTATCAAAATGGCCCAGGACCCCCACTACATAGCTACTATATGCTGTAGAAACAAGTTTCAATTATCAAGAAGAGAATATGAAAATGACTAACGACCGGAAATGGAACATTAAAAAAAATGTTAGTTTATTGTTGATAAATTATTATTATTACTGTTATCATATTATGGTCAAGTTATTTAAATAAATTTCGCTTTTGCTACAATTTTCAGTTTAATAGCTTCATATAACGTACTACTTTATCACCGTGTTTTGAATCAGGTGTCGGCTAGTATGCAAAATTAAGTCAAATTTAAACCTATCGTTTAGGTAGTTAATTAAAAGGTGCATGGTCAAGACTTTGTTTGTGTTTTCAACTTTTTCAACATTTTTATTGTGTCGTAAACTGAAATTATCAACACAAAAATCAAGTGTCCTGTCGCGTTTCTCATTTATTAGAGAGCAAATGTTCACAACTACTGTACCACTTACTTAAAATTCCACTTTAATAGGGGCAATAATACCCAATAGTACGTCATGCCGGTTTTTTATACCATTGTTTTAAAAATATACACCTCGCCCTTGAAAATTAGATATACTAATAGCGGTTTTATGGTGGAAAACAGGCACGATATAAAGTAAGTACTTTACAATATATGAAAACGACGCATTTACCGCAGTACACATTAAACCCTTCCAGTCTTCCCTTTAACTCAGTTCTTATTCACCATGGTTGCCACCCGGGATTCCGACCATCAACAAACCTTTACAGTGACCCATCGCGGCAACCATTACAACATCCGCAACTTCCTTCAAAAGTACCACCCTGGAGGGTTCAAATGGGTGAAACCGTACGAAGGCAAAGACATCACCAAGAGTATGGAAAAGTACCACCATTCCAAAAACGCCTACTATATACTACGAGAATACAAAAAAGGGGGTCGTGATAGTTCCAAAAATGACAGTGACGAAGACTTAGAAGTAAGTGTTGCTTTTGGAAATATTGTTGATCAAGCTTGGTCTCTAGAGCATGGTGGATTGGAGCAAACCCATGGTGAGTCAAGTGGGGGCTCTTGGAACTAAATACCAAGAATGGGTGATGTTGCCCGTAGACCGGAAACTAATCTTATTTGGAAACCCTATTTTGGAAAACTTGACTAAAACACCACTCTACATGGTACCGTTGTTTTGGATTCCGGTTCTTACCTGCTTTTTTGCTTATGGATGGAAGGAGCTCGTAATGTTAGACGCATCTATGGTTATTATTAATTGCGTGCGTTCTTTTTAGAATTGGTCTTTAGATCTGTACTCATGTCTACACATGTCTTTGAGTACTCTAATTGGTGTAGTTATGTCAACATTAGTGGAGTATGCATTCCACCGATGGATTTTCCATTCGGTTCCTTCAGGAGAAAATAAAATGATGATATACATCCATTTTTTTATACATGGTCTTCACCATAAAGTGACACATTTTTGGTTGAGGTATTCTTGATAATTAAACAAAATTTCAGGCCCCTTTTGATCCGCGGACCACTGTTATTCCTCCTGTTGCAACGACGGTACTTGCTTATTTATTTTATTTACTATACTCTGTATTTTTGGCCAGATCAGTTGTGTTTTTTGTAATGACAGGAATGATAATGGGTAGGTTTTTAAATCCATTTATCCTCTTTCTATGTTCTTATGTTTTTCTAAGGCTACATTACATACGAACTTACTCACTACTATATGCATTTTGGAGCACCTAACGAAAACAGTTATTTCCACTATCTGAAAAGAATACACAACCAGCACCATTTCAATCACCACGATAAAGGTAAGTGCCAAGGGTATAAAGTGCTTTTAAAACACGAAGTTTCAGTATTCGGAGTAAGCAATATGTTTTGGGATACAATTTTCAACTCACTGGTTGAATTAAAGAAGCTGCACATGCCTGTAAAATGGTGAAAGTGAGTAGAACGTTGTTCTGAATTATTTAAGTAAGGGTGATCAGAATTATTTGGTTACGGAAGATTCTTATATTTTTTTAGAAATATTGTACTACAATATAGTATTTTTTGGCAAAAAACTGTTTCATTATCCTGGTCCAAAGGTGTCATTGCGTACAATTCTGGCATACAGTCCTACGTCAGGATCCACCACAACCAACTCAAGGTTTTTGGAATCAAGGTAAAAGGTACAGACCTTATGGTGATCCAAGTGGTACCTTTTGAAAGAAATGAACACTGGTACTCCAGTGGGTACTGGACAAGGATCTATTATGTCCAAATGCCATATTGTGACAAATTTCGTGTAAAGTTGTAAAAAAGATGTGTTATCTTTGGTAAACAACAGGCAACTTGAATTTTGGGTCATACCCGAACAACTTTTTGATTTGTGGGTACTTTTCTGGAAGAAAAGCGTGTTCCTGGACAACACGACGTAAACAACAATTACAGCGTTTCATCAATATTCTAAATAAATTTAAGTAGTATCATACTACTAACATTTGTTTAAAATTCGGGTTAGTGTTTCTAAAAGATAAAAAATCATTATCGTTCAAATATATATTTACAAACAATTTCCCGTCGTAGTGGGAAATTTGCGTTTACTTTTGCTTATCTTTATTTTGAGATAAGGCCATTCACTGTTGGGTGGGGATAAATAAAATAAATTTTATGTGAACCTTTACAATGCAAAGTAGTTCCACGTTCTAGAACTTTCATTAGCACAGACTTGTTCTGTGTCTGAGTGGAAGAAGCTTAACATTTATAGAAACGTTAGAGATAATATTTTATAAAATACAGGATGCGGCATTTAAAAAATGTGACAAAACTGACATTTACAAATTTAATCACTTTGTATAAATAAGTAGCAGCACTTCAATGTTCAAGTCAAAATTCAAAATTACAGACCTCGATTCTTAAATATGGCGATGAGAGTTTTTAAATATCACCATTTTCGCCCATAAACGAGAAATACATGTATTGAAAAATGTAGTTTGTACGGAAGCGAAGAAAAATGTTGTTATCTTGGTGGGGATCGAACCCACGCCTCTCGCTTTCCGGGCAAGCATTCAGACCTCTAGACCACGAGGCGACTTATCTTTCTTCGCTTACCGAAGTGTTATTGTGCCGCCACACAGTTCATAAAACCTTTGCTTGCGTTATCATTTTTCTCCTTTTTTAATCTTAAGGTATCTACGAGTAAATCTCTAAAAATATGTATATAGAGTATGTAAGTTGCAAAAATGCAACTTATCTTAGCAAGTATTAAACTCATCTTGATTTTGTTAGAGATCATGTCATTTGCCAAAATTAATCTTGTCTTAGCAAATATTAGCCCCGCCCACCAGCCCCTATTTTCTTCGAGATTATGTCATCTGCCAAAATCAATCTTGTCTTAGGAAGTACTAGCTCTACCCACCCGCCCTCTATTTTTTTGAGAGATTATGTCATTTGTCAAAATCAGTCTTGTCTTAGCAAGTATTAGCCCCGCCCACCCGCCCGCTATTTTCTTAGAAATTATGTCATTTGCCAAAATGAACTTGTCTTAGCAAGTATTAGCCCCGCCCACCCACCCGCTAGTTTCTTAGAGATAATGTCATTTGCCAAAGTCAATCTTGTCTTGGCAAGTACCAGCCCCGCCCGCCCGCCCTCTGTTCCCTTTGAGATTATGTCATTTGCCAAAATCAATCTTGTCTTAGCAAATTCTGGGTTGGGTCACGTCAAGTCAGGTCACAAAAGGTCAAAATTTGTCTCCTTTTCCATGGATTAGTGGGACATAAATCGGAATTGCTGGTGAATAGTTAACAAAAAGAAGATTCTAGAATTCTGTTTGGGTGAAGACCAATTTCAGAAGAATTTGGATTTCAATTCAAAAATGTTGGTAAATAGTGGCTCGAAAAGTCAGGAAACTTCACAGAGGCGAAGGTTGAACCCATATAACAACCGAAAAAATTTAGAAGAATTCTAGAATTTCAGGAAGCTGAAGTCGAAAAAAAAAGAAGAAAATTGACAACATTAAATGAAGGATTTAAAATCCTTCATCTAAAAGAACGCTATCCTTTTGAATTGGAACCAAAGACTAATTATGTATTATAGAAAAATTAAAAAATCAAAACTACTCTTATCATTGTTTTTTTTTCTACTGCAATATTATATTTTAGATGAAATAAAAAAATTTTAATAGATTATAGAAGAAAATTATAAGAGTAGAATAGGATTAGTAGGTACTTAAATCGGAATCACTAACGAATAGTTGACAAAGGAAAAGCTTATAGAATTCTGTTTGGCGGAAGACCCATTTTAGAAGATTTTGGACTTCAGGTCAAAAATGCTGGCGAATAGAGAATCTAGAAGTCATTAAACATGGTAGAGGTGGAAGTTGAAGCTTAACTTAATGAGAAGCAAAAAATTCTAGAGGAATTGTTCTAGAATTTTAGGAAGCTGAAGTCCAAAAAAGAAGAAAATTGGCAAGTGAAGAATTTAAAATTTTTAAAATATTTTTTAATGGATTGTGGAAGGAACTTATAACGATAGGATCAACGGGGATTTAAATCTAGATCACTGACGAATAGTTGACAAAAGAAAAGATCCTAGAATTCTATTTAAGAAAACATCTGTTTTAGAAGACTTTGGACTTCAGGTTAAAAATACTTGTGAGTAGAGAATCTATAAGTTAGTAAACTTCGGAGAGGTGGAAGTTGAAGCTATATGATAAACAGAAAAATCTAGAGGAGTTCTTTTAGAATTATAAGAAGCTCAAGTCCAAAAAATAAGAAAATTGGTTACGTTAAGTGAAGGGTTTAAAATCTTCCTTCCAAAAAAACGCTATCCTTTTGAATTAGAAGCACAAGATTAATTCTGGATTTTTACAAAAATTAAAAAATGTAACAACCCTTATAATAATTCCTTTTTTTCCAATTCTATGTTATATTGTTGATGAAATAAAATATTTTTTAATTGATTATGGAAGGAAATTTTAAGAATAGTATTAATGTTTGGGTCAAGACCAATTTTAGAAGAATTTGGACTTCAGTTCAAAAAAAGTTGATTCTAGAATCTAGAGTTCAGTAAACTTCGCAAAGGTGGATGTTGAAGCTATATGATCAGCAAAAAAATCTAAAGACATTTTTCTGGAATTTTAGGAAGCTGAAGTCCAAAAAGGAAAAAAAATTGACAACGTTAATTGAAGGATTTAAAATCTTCCATCGAAAAAACGCTATCCTTAGGAATTAGAACCACAAGACTAGTTATGGATTTTTAGAAAAATTAAAAAAATAGAAAAACTCATAATAGTTTCGTTTTTTTCTACTTCTATATTATATTTTAGATGAAATAAAATTTTTGTAATAGATTATGGAAGAAAATTATACGAAAAGAATAGGATTAGTAGGTACTTAAACCGGAATCACTAACAAATAGTTGACAAAGGAAAACCTTATAGAATTCTGTTTGGCTGAAGACCAATTTTAGAAAAATTTGGATTCAGGTCAAAAATGCTGGCGAATAGAGAATCTAGAAGTCTGTAAACATCGTAGAGGTGGAAGTTGAAGCTTAGCTTAATGAGAAGCAAAAAAATCTAGAGGAGTTGTTCTAGAATTTTAGGAAGCTGAAGTCCAAAAAAGAAGAAAATTGACAAGTGAAGGATTTAAAATCTTTAAAATATTTTTTAATTGATTGTGGAAGGAAATTATAACAATAGGATCAACGGGAACTTAAATCTAAATCACTAACTAATAGTTGACAAAGAAAATATTCTGGAATTCTGTTTAGGAAAGATTTGTTTTAGAAAAAAATGGACTTCAGTTCAAAAATGCTTGTGAATAGACAATCTAGAAGTTAGTAAACTTCGTAGAGGTGGAAGTTGAAGCTATATGATAAGCAAACATTTCTACAGGAGTTCTTCTAGGATTTTAAGAAACTGAAGTCCAAAAAAGAAGAAAATTGCCAACGTTAAATGGAGGGTTTAAAATCTTTCATCTAAGAAAACGCTATCATTTTGAATTTGAATCACAGGATTAATTATGGAATTTTAGAAAAATAAAAAATCGAAAACAACTCCTATATTTTTTTTTCTACTTCTATATTACATTTTAGTAGAAATAAAATATATTTTAATTGGTTATAGACTGAAATTATAAGAATAAGATTAGCGGGGACTTAAATCGGAATCACTAACGAATAATTGACAAAAGTAAAGCTTCTACAATTCTGTTTGGGTGAGGAGCAATTATAGAAGAATTTGGACTTCAGGTAAAAAGTGCTGGTGAATAGAGAACCTAGAAGTCAGTAAACTTCGCAGAAGTGAAATTTGAAGCCATATGACAACCAAATAAATCTAGAGGAATTCTTCTGAAATTTTAGTAAGCTGAAGTCCAAAAAAGAAGAAAACTGGCAACGCTAGCTGAAGAATTTAAAATCTTCCATCGAAAAAATGCTATCGTTGTGAATTATAAACACAAGAATAATTATGGAAATTAAAAAATCAAAACAACTCTTATAATAAATCCTTTTTTTTTTCTAATTCTATGTTATATTTTAGATGAAATAAAATATTTTTTAATTGATTATGGAAGGAAATTATAAGAAGTATTAGTGGGGACTTAAATCGTAATCACTAACGAATAGTTAACAAAAGAATTCTGTTTGGGCGAAGACCAATTTTAGGAGAACTTGGACTTCAGTTCAATAATGTTGATGATTCTAGAATCTAGAATTCAGTAACCTTCGCAAAGGTGGAAGTTGAAGCTATATAATAAGCAAAAAAATCTAGAGAAGTTGTTCTAGAATTTTAGGAAGCTGAAGTCCAAAAATGAAGAAAATTGACAACGTTAAGTGAAGAGTTTAAAATATTCCTTTTAAAAAACGCTATCCTTTTGATTTGAATTAGAACCACACGACTAATCATGGATTTTTAGAAAAATTAAAATTCGTTTTTTCTACTTCTATATTATGTTTTAGATGCAATAACATTTTTTTAATAGATTGTGGAAGAAAATTATAAGAACAGAATAGGATTAGTGGGTACTTAAATCGGAATCACTAACGAATAG